CAGCTGACTAGCAAAATATATACAAAACAGAAATCACAATCGATCCTCTCATTCCTTATTTACACAAACGAGCGACAGAATAACTGTTGGTTGTAGATGTTTAGCTACTTCGCTTTTCTGAAACGTAGTATATACAAATGTTCCCCTCTGATTCTCCTTTCGATCACTATCTCTCCGATCATGTTCAAACTTCGAAATACGCGTAAAATATATTCCGGATCGTTCTCTTTGATAACTAACATGTAAAATACTCCTAGGTCAGATAGAATATTAGGAATTGTAAGGAACACACGTTCCATAACTTTTCTACCGTTCGCACCACCTGCCCAAGCTTTGAATAAGACATCTCCGTTCGAGATTTCATCGTCGTTTGTAACTACGTACGGGGGATTGAACACGATGACATCGAAAATACAATCGTCACGTATACAGCTTAACAAGTCCATTTGTACAGTATCTAAATCTACCGAATTTTGTATAGCAGTTCTCTTTGAGATTTCACACGCATGGAAATTAATATCGATCGCTAAATGACAGGGTTGGCAATGATTTCTCAATGCCATTGCCAGTGCTGTGATCACAACGCCGGACCCACTACCTATCTCTAAGCACATCACAGGTCTTAACGATTTTAGTACCTCTAAATCATTCTCTAAGGCATCTATCAACAGGAAGGAATCTTCCGAAGGTTCATAAACCGATTCTAAATCTTTATCTGACAACTTAACTATCGGTGTGTCCATGATATAATACCAGAAAATATACGACAGTCTCTTTCCCAAAATCTGTTTAGACCAATCCCAAATATATCACAATCATTTCATAGTTACCACTCGGATCCTTCTTGTTCTCTCTCTCCTTCTTGCTCTACCTTTTCTGTGACATTAGGAGCATTACTAGACAGGGAACTATGGTCTAGCAAGGCTTTCCTCTTCACTGTGTTCTTCTCCACTGCTTGATGAATCTTGTTCAATCTCTCTTGTGTACTTTGCAAGATGTTACTTACAATGGTGATCTTATGTTTGGCATTGACTAGCTTCTTCACATACGAATCTGTCTCCAATGGGCACTGCAAAGCTTCGTTGATCCTTTGCAGTTCTTCTGTCAGCGACTCAATTCGCTGCTTCAGCTCTATTTGACATATTCTACAAAAGACCAATGGAATGGTCAAGCTGCCGTAACGAATGTAATCATGAAAGAGCTTATTCGTGATTTATGTACGCGAAGGAAAGAGTTGTGCATGTCTATAAGATCGCGGCGTCATGCGACGAAAGGGAGGTTAGATTTTAATTTATGATGATAAAAGATTGCTACAGGAAGTAATATAATATCCTACGACTGTCCAAACTTTGTAAACGTAACGAATTCGTGCGTAATCATGAGAAAGCTTAGCAATATTCAAGATCTATATTGATGCGCGTAGAAGTATATTACATGTGAAGAGAGAAGTTATATACCTTGTGGCGCGAATCCTTTCGTCTAACTGATCAACCGTAGGCTTGAGAAGGCTCATAAGACCCTCGGTCAAAGCATCTCTCGTTGGATTTTCACAGAAATCGTCAATTTTATCATCGATCGACGTATTGTCACTTGCCGTGTCAACGTCCATTTTGCGCGACTCACTACGCCGCGACAGGTGGCGCCGCTAGCGCGAAGTTTGCGGCGCGATATAAAATTCAAACACGGTATTAGCGTAATACGTATAATATCGTCATATATTTAAATTACACAACACACAAATTACAGCGATTTACATTATTAACAAAATACGAGGAAGTCGTGTAGGAGAATACGTGAAATTTCATCGAATCCGTAGTAACGGTATTTTGTTTTATTTAATGAGGTATATCTGTGTTAATGTCGGCCACCGAGGAGACACTACTAAATAGTGGCAGTACTCGTGTAATCGATGGGACAGCGAATGAGTACCAATGGGTCTGAAAACACAGTCGATGATCGCTCTTTACGATGGAATTAGAAGGAAATTGTATAGAACTTTCTTATATCCGGCAACTGTTCAGCACCTGCGATTGTTTTGCTTTCTATTTCTTATTTCAATAGCAAAACATTCTAAAGGTCGTCAAAAATTGTCGACTCTTTCGTAGGACACAAAATCCCTGCCATTCTTTAGTAATCTCTCCTCGGTGTCTGGGCCCAGCAGGTGAATCGGTAATCGAAAATAGGTGCCGGAAATGGGATACTGCGAGTCAAACAATAGGAAAGCAGATTAATCCCTCGTCTCATAAGATTCCTTAAGTAGTTCTTGTATAATTTCTATTATTATACTGATTTCAATAAATTAAAGCTGACAGAGTACGAGTGCCGTAGCTAATGTTTAATTTTCGATTGGAACGAGGAGAGAAATTAAACTGCTTCGTGAAAGTTTCCTCTTTTCGGTTTCTAACTCACAGCGAAGTGAATGAAATCGTAGCTATCATATCTAGATATATATTACGAGCACTAGTACTTTTCGCAAATGTAAATAAGATCGTTTTAAACCGACGAAAGATCCGCCGGACATTGGAATCGTATATTATACAGATATTACACTAACTACATATGTAATTGGATATGTCAATTTTTTTACACGTATACAGTTATACACAGAAAAAAGTGTATAAACTTGTTTAATATGACGTGACAACTTCTGGACGATAATCCAACCGATTTCTCCCACGGTTGCACCGCGTCTGCTTTCATTATTTTTAATTGGAAAAATAACAAAAGACGCGATAGGTGACCGCGTGCCAAAAAATTGCGCTTCGAGATATATTTATATACATATACATGCGTGTATGCTTACGTGTACGTATGTATACTGTAAATGTATGCATACGTACACGGACGTACCTAGAATTTGTACATAAGGCATCACTATAATTGATTCTCGCGCCCGCAACGCAATTTAATCGTTTCGACATTTTCCGATTAGAAGCAAATTATAAAAGTGGTAATTGAGCACTCAAGTGTACCGAATAAAAAACAACTATTACCAATTAGCATAATATACATAATTTCAGGTGGAAATGGGAAACGTTTCGTCTTTTATAGAAGAAAATTAATGTAGATAAATTACGTTTATAAGTTACTTGCCGTCGCGATACTATTTTATACTTTATTTCATGTAAAAAGGCACGGAACTGAAGGCGGAATGTAACCGTTAAGGCAGTGGACCAGCCACTCTGTGCTCGTAGCTGCGTTTCAGACATCGAATCTAACGTCTTCGTACCCATAATTTATAAATAGACTATCAATCCGATCATATCGTATTTATGAGAAAATCCTACGAAAGGCACTCTCGTTAAGGCTGATGCAAGTTCTCTTCATGCCGAAAATGTATCAATACACAACGGCGTCAGAGATATGAGAGGAATAAGGATAGAGGATACGAGGCATGAGAAACGCTTTATCGATTCTTAATTCAATTTGAGTTAAGATGACTAAGGTTTCCAGGATTCCCTTTTGACATCCTAGGAGAGGCTCGAAACGTTGCCGCGGCTCGGTCACTTGGCGTGCTGCTTCGGAAGATGCCGTTTCATGTGCAGGGCGAGGTGGTCGCTTCTGGCGAACGAACGCTCGCACACCGCGCACTTGAACGGTTTCGCGCCTGTGTGCTTCCGATAGTGACGAGTTAATTCGTCGCTTCTGGCGAACCGCCACTCGCACTCCGGCCACTGACACTGGTACGGTTTTTCGCCTGGAACCAAAAATACAAGAAACGAACGGGCATACAATGCGTACAAACTTTCATCAGAACGAAACTGCGATCATGAATGAAAATGCAACGGGGAAATTGTAATATACGATCTCATATTTGTGAGTGATGTATTGGAAGTAAGAGAACCAAACAATTTTGTTACAGAAGTGCATAAAATTGCAGGAAATGGACTAATCGCGAGGCTCGTATTAAGTATTACATGGAAAAAATGTGAAAGACAATTTTGTCGGAGTTGGAAGGAAGTTTCGCCTGGCGGAGAAGTTAACTGGACTTGGTTGCATCTGCGAGAAGCTAGACTAGTTGGGGCAGGGCAGGAACAGGACAGGACAGGGCGGGGTGGGGCGAGGCGAAGGGCAAAAGCAGGAGCAAGAGTAAGAGCAGGCAGGATCTATGTTGCGAGAACGCGAACGGATTGCGCTAGAATACAGGTGAGCGTATTGCGGCATGCGGGTACAGTTAAAGGTCACCGCGGCATCTCTCGAGCTTCTAAGGTTCCCCGTATATATCTATCGCCTATCGTCGCAAAAGAGCAACGCTTTGTTCTCTAATGGCTCTTTCCCTTGCCCCAACTACCGTACCTCCTTCGACTTTCGTTACAATCAAAATTAATACAATACTTCATGTAACAATTATAATACTCCATTTCATGCGATCTTCTGTACATATAATCCTTGATACGTTTGATAGAATAATTTAAATACGGTGCAAAAATAACTTCCTTTTTTATGTAAGTTTTTTGATGAAAATACTTCGAGGAATTGATTAAAATATTGTGGCTTGATCGACGCGTAAGGAAAAAACGTGGTTTTCCTTTGGCGAGCGAGAAGACTGAATGACAAGCTCTCGGCTTCCCGCATTCCAATTACACGTACCTACTAATTAACACTGGCGAGCGTGTCTTTCGACAGCTGACGCGAGAAACGGCATTCAGGCGAGTTTTCCCTGGTCGCGCGCGCGTCTGTCATCGGCCGTTCTCACGAATCATTGGTAAAAGCTGTGCGAGAGTCCCGGATTAATCTTGGAAATACTACCAAGGGGATAGCTGAGAAATACGCCCACGCGTGTCGGTGACTCGGAGCTTGCCTCGCTATGGAGACGACCCCAACCGGTCTTAGCCACACGCACGGCTCCTATACAATCGGTATTACCACCACGAGCCGCATCCATTCACGGTATTGCTCGTTCATGAGAATTCCGCCGCGATTTCTTCGAGACGCCGCGGCGTGCCGCTTCGCGAAACACTCCAGCTTCCCGGCTTAATGGCCTTTTTTTTTATACCCATTGATCGTCCGATTGCGCGTCTCCCGCTTCTTCTAATCATCAAGCTTTATTACGTTCGCGAGAAAAAAACGGGAAACGATCAATAGAACTTTTAAGAAGATCTGAACAACGGGCTAATCTGTGAAATATTAAACAGTGATTACACAACGCAATGTTCGAACGATAAAAAGAAATTTTTATCTGAAATGATACTGTTTTGCATAAAAGTCTAATGATCAATGATTAACGATGATCCTATCGATCATGGTAGAAATAGAAAACGAAGTCGTTTGCCGTCATCTAATTGTCAAGTATTAAGTCATTCCATTATACGCTTGGATAAGACTCAGTTATTCTTGGAAAATCAATGTCGATTTTGCTGAGATACTTTCACGTTTTTATCCTCGACAATTTTACATCTTCTATCTCTGATTTAATGAAAAAGTAATCGATTCAAATGGTTCGCATTTAATGTAATTTATGTCTATCTGTATTTATGTCATGTCCCACTCTTGATTCACATTATATGGAATTATCTGTTTGAACTTCTCCCATGTATCACTATTGGATTACACTATCGGTATCTGTTCCACGTTTGCGTATATAATCTACGAACACTTTTTGCCGTGTAATATCGTTCCAGCTGGTGACTCGCGACGCGACGCGACGCCTACGAGCCTCGAGGCGTCCCCGTTAATTTCGGATCACTTTCACCGAGCGCGGTCTGCTGGCATTCGCGGCGATCCGACAACTCGCTCTGGAAACTCGTATCCGTCTTTTGTTGGTAACCGATTCCTCTCATTGGTCACTCGATCGTTGAGATACGCCGCCGTTAGAATCCCGTTAGAGACTTCGCGAAAAGACGATCAAACTAGAAGGTCTGCCGAAGTCGAAAGCAGGAATGCCGCTCGCCTCGCGAGGCTGACTCGGTTTTGCGTTTAAATTTATACATACGAGCTACCGTGCAAGTTTCCAGCTTCCTGAAAATCTATCCATGCTCTCTCTTAGTTCATTAATCATCTGGAGCCTGATTATTAAATTTTAACTATTATGCACCTGGAGTTTGAAGAATCTAATTAAAATTTGTTTGATCATTATAATATCTTTAAAAGATAACATCGACGTTCCATATCATGAATTTTATATATAAAACTTTTTCAATAGTCAAATGCATTTTTCTACTTGAATATTTGCATGGCTTTTTAACAGGATTAATAAAGGACAGAGACAGTAGAACTTATTTTGTACGACAATTATTGTTGATCGAACGTAATTGTGATATAGGCTTGCTCAATTTGTATCGAGACGCTCTGGGGTAAATCAATGTTGGTGATCTCTGAGGAACGAGTATATGGAATCGGTTTTTCTTCGCTGGCCAGTTCGCGTTTAATATCGATAAGATCGGTCCCAAGGCGGATAAGAAAAAAGTCGATTCGCCAAGGTTGGCTCGCAGAAAATCGTGGAATGGGTAGCGCGCGCACGAAATGTTCCTATTAAGAAGCACGCAACGTGTAAGCTGTACACGTTGCTATAACGCATTCGAATACATTAGTAGAATACTAAGCGGATCGTAGTGAGTGCGTACAACCCCCGTCAGAAGTCCTAAGACTTCGATTATGAAACATCATTCAATACGAGAATTATCAGAAATTATCAGAAATCGTAGAAAATCATGTAATCACGTGATAAATCAAGAATAATTTCAATAAAATCATCATCCACATAAATATAATCAATATTCTTTGCATTCTAACTATGATTGATTTATTTGTTAATTTGATTAAAAGTAACTATCTAGAAGAAAGCACCCATCCGCTAACTACATTTCTGCACTATCTACTCAGACAAAAATTCATTTCCCACATGCAAATAATACATTCATAAAAAAATCATAAGTCCAGTTTGTTTCAAATACATTTTTCGAATGTTTTTAATAAGTAATGGATTCTAAGACTTCTGAACGGAGTTGTACTCGATCAGGAATCGATGGACGTCCGTTCGGCCCGAAACGGTCTCCGAATATAGACGTTCCAGGCTGGCCGATACCTATACACGCGTGTAACGTAATTTACGAGCGATCGACCGATATTCTTTCTCGCTCGGGACGGGATGGTTTGGGATGGGAACGGGCCCCGGAGCGTGAACGCGTGTGCGTCCGCCGTGAATGCTGGACCTATACACGCTCCGGCTTGGGATTCATTCAAGACGAATGCCACGTGCCCGAGGCACTCGATCCGCAACATACGCCACTGATCCTCGATTCACCTTTAGATTTGCGTTTTAACGTACAGGGCAAATCAATAAGAATTGTCATAATATTCATTGATTATATTAAAAAGCATCCAGAGAAATTCATTGACTGTGAGAATGCCTTTACTCAATGAGCTTTAACGCATACAAATTCATACGAAACTCCTTTTAGTAATGCAAGCAGACAGAAAGAAAGCAATCACTCCAAATTATTCAGCAATTAATTTCTCAAAGCTAACAGCAACTTGCATACATAAGAACTTTGTGATCAATACAAATAATTGAGATATAAGCAACGTATTTATCTAGAAGTAAACCAGGATAATCGTCAAGGTTTGAGGCACGCGCCAGCTGGCAGAACAGGATTAATTTAGCTTGCAGCAAGGCGTTTTCAAGATTCGAGGTGTTGCATTGAACGTGCAACAGGTATGACTACCGCAAAACCTCGAGGTATCAATTGGAAAGTGGTACATCGCGGTTCAGATGCCTCTGGCTGGCATTCCGCGAGTCCCGTCGCAAATTTCTACGCGTATTCAGAACATCGGGTAATCGATTCAATCTATGATTTTTTTATCGTTTCTACTTCACATGGAATTTTCACATAATTGCATAAAATCCAGTCTGTTGATGGCATTGTACGCAGACCGCGTAAGTACAGACGGTCGGGGACGTCGATGCCCGGTGAGGAAGGTTTGTCAGAGGATTCCGCGGTGGTTTCAACCCGACATTAGGCCAGAGCCTCGACTCGTTTCGTGCTCACCCGTGTACAAACATACGTAGGTGTTGGTACTCGCGCGTTAGCGTCGCGTGTGTTTGGATACGGGCAGGATGTGGGTCGCTAGCTCGAGTCTACGAAGCGGAGAGTCGCATACCACGCTTCATGCGTTCCTTATACGTTTACATATGATAGAGGCTCCTTTGCGCGACACCGCTTCGCGCGTGCAGACGGAAAGATTCGAGGAGAACGCGAGAGAGAAAGGTGAAACAGAGATACCCAAGGACTGAATGGAGAAAGATAGAAGGAGAACCGCGCCCTGCCCACGCCAAGCGCGAGGTCGAGCGCTTTCAAACGCTTCGTTTCGCTACACAGATGAGCTACATGTCTAATTTTCGCTTGGTGAAGGAAAATCTACTCACCTGTGTGGATCCGCTGATGCGCCTTCAGGTGCGAACTCTTCGTATAGACTTTTGTACAACCTGGAAAAATTCGGAAACACGATACGTCGATTACATTTACTCAGAGTCAATTAATTTGCGTCCCGTACTGCTATAATTATGTACGATAGTTGGAATACTAATGAATATTGCGACGTATTAATTATTGCATCGGTCATAATACAAAACATCGTTTTAACTTCGATCAACATGATCGAATCACAAATATTGTGGCATTGCTAATTCGTTTAACTACTTCGGTAGTGACGATAAGAATCTAACGATGCAAATGGATGAAAAATGTTTTCAAGTTTACCTATGAAATCACAGTGGTGGACGCGTCGCTTCTCGAGCTCGGGATTGTTTCGCCTGTTGAATTTGGTGCTGATGGGAGGTTGAATCCGATGCGGGGGATTCATGATGGACGGTTGGGGATAGGGTGGAGGCGGCGTCCGTCGCGGCGGTGCGCCTATCGGCGAACCGGGATCGGAAATCGGCGGCGTCAGCGGGGAAATATACATTAACCTAGTCATCGAGCCGTAAAGCGGTGACGTCGCGGTGCCGCCGATCTGATTCCCACCTCCGTGATGACTCGCCGTTGACTCACTGTTGCCGTTGTTACTGCCACCATTACCGCTACCACTATTATTGTTATTATTGTTGTTGGAACCACTGTTACCATTGACGTTGCCACCACTGTTATTATTATTATTATTCGTGGTGTTATTGTTATTATTGTTAAACGTCTTGAACGCCCGATGATGAACGACGGGCGCACCGGGCGAGGGACCGTTCGCGTAAGTCGAATTCGACGCCGGTCCCTCGAGGAGGTGCAAAGTCGGAGGCGGTGGCAGCGGCTCGGTTTTAATCTCCACGGGGGATAAAACCGGGGACGCAACATCGTCGGTTTCCATTTTAACGTGAGATTGCGAGCCGAGCATATCCGCGTTCTCCGGGTCCAATTTTTGTATGCTGGAGGTGATGTCCTCCCAAAGGGGTGGCCTGAGGAACACGTCGTCGTCGTTCCCGGCAGGCTGACTCCTAGACGATACGAAACTCGCTTGGGGTCTGCACACGGGACCACCGACCTCGAAGAAGTCCTCCATCTGTACCGAGGACTCCCTCGAATCCTTGTCCGGGTCATCCTCATCGAGCTTCTGTAATCGGTCGAGGTCCTGTCGACAGAGTAACGTGTCCAAGTCCGACGTCTGCTGGAAACAGAGAAGATAACACAGATTATATATTAACCACGAATGAGATGAATCGTGCAAGTTTAAAACAAATTTTGTTTAATGTAAGACATAAACAGTGGAGCCTGAATAATGTTTTAAATCGTGTTCCTTAAAACGCATCAGACACGAAAGAGCCGGGTTTACAGTTGGAGGGTTAAAGAAAAAGGAGGGTAGAGAGTAGGTTAAGCAAGCAGACGGGTGACTTGCGGTATGTTGATTCACGAAAGCGCACACGCGTTGCTCTCTCGGTTAATATGCAACGCAGTCGTCGAGGGGCTGCGAGGAGGTCTTACGTACGATGTACCAGAGAAAGGAGAGAGAAAGAGAGAGACCAGAACGGTTCCGTACCGAGATATGGGAGGGATTCGACCGATGCCGCGTCATTCTTTGCATGATTTGTACACAACCAACGCCGCCCTTCGACCCGACCTATTCCTTCCCGTTCCTCCGATTCCTCTCAGCATTCGGAATATTTTAATGTACGACACAACCGCCCCTTTCACTCTCGACACGATGACTTTATTGTTTTCTTCGCTCGGGTTTCGTGCATCAAATAAACATTTATCAAGCATAGATATTATTGCAATCAAATCCTTTCTAACACAGAAGTTTCTACCGTTTCAAATTTCCGATGCACATAAAAAGAATCAGTGTGCAGCTCATGTCTCTTACAAATGTCAAATCTTCATTACAGTAATTTTCAGATAAAATTTGAAATCGTTTGTTATACAGAATATAAAGTCAATGTACAAAGAGATACCACATTTTGCAGTAAGTCATACAAATCTCTCGAGGATTCATGAAAAACCGAGGGAAACGATTCTTGTAGTCACGCACGCGTTTGGAGAATGTCGAAGAACATACGCATTGTACTTCAGAAGCTCCGTTACAATCGAAAAGAACGGTATGGAATACGTAACATGAATTTTTAAACGAGTCAAGGAATCCTCCTTGTCGTACAATGTGTAGACATCATTAATAACGTACACGTTGTCATGCAGTGAAATGCAACCCGTTAAAATACTCGTTGTAACGTGTTAAAAGATCTTCTTAAAGAAAGAACTTAATCAATAGCCTGCAGATTTAATAATGTATTTGAAAACGAATGGAGTGTACAAACGACATATGCGATGTATAAACAAACAGGAGATATCATAATTGCAATGGTAGAAGAGACTCAGATTCTTTTCAATGTTTATTACCATAATGTGGTATTTTGCATAAAATTCTGCATCACACGCTCTACAGATGTGAAGCACGTGTCGGTTGAGAAAACGTTGAATCTCGTTAATAAGCAGAAACGAGTAACTGTCGCGTTGAAAATGAATTAAGATTAAAAAAAAAAAAAAGGAAAACATCTGATCGGAAATTTTCGAACGATTCGGGCTCGCTCCGCGGACAAGCTCCTATAGTGATTTATGAATTATTTACACAATGAATTATTCATCGTCGGAAGATTGGTATACTCGCAACACTCGATCGTACCTGATATGCAATTTGAAAAGGAGTTTGTAGCGAGCCACGATGTGCGCGCTGTTCCGCGCGAAACATTATATTTAAATGCCATATCGTCCCAGGAACCGGGATGGATAGTCGGTACCAGCCAGTTCGTCGATAAAATAACCCAACGTCGACGCAAACTGCTGCCTTCGACTCCTATTATTATACCTGTCGCGTATAAAAGAAACAACGTCAAATTTGTCTATAGGCTTTACGTCCGAAAACCGGAGACAAAAGAGTGACGAAGAGAGATACTGCCGAGGGATGGAAGGATTGTTCCGCCATAATTAATAACGCGACAGATCGTTGGGAACCTTACCATGAAAACTACTTAAGAAATGGACTAGAACGATTAAATAGCTAATAACTGAAAAGAACAAAAGCACGTCTTCTGAGCAAACGAGAACTGTTCGAGTATGTAAATGGGAGCAGAGCCGCGTTCCCTCGGCGCTCGCGAGGCCGCGCGATCGATCGGGATGGAAAAAAAATTCTATCTAAGCGAACGGAATGGTTTTTTATCGCTCGCGATGACGGCGCGCTATCCATCGGCGTGGGTGTTCGCTCTGTCTCTCTCCTCTCTCTTCGTCTCTCTGGCAGATTCGAAAACGCGTTATTAACACCGACGTCCCTGACTCTATGATTACGCGCATTAATAGCCGGATGGACGAACTTTATTCAACGCCCCGCACTATCATTATTCGCGGGATAAAGAGACCGAGACGACGAATCGAGAGACACGACGGACACAAAGACGAGAGCAAAGCAGTCTTTAGGTGACCGTATTTTTTTATTCAACGTTCTCATACAGAAACAATTGAAAACTGCTGTGGTATTTGTTCTGTTTTCAAGTATTCAATTCTTTCATCCCTCCTCAAATTTTTTTGATAAAATTATCTGATAACAATTGTGGCATCTACTGAAGAGAAGAAGAAATGGGAAAATGTGTAGAAACAGAAATAAGATGACGGTCTCTGATGGGGGTTGGAGAACGGAAGTGGCGGTGCGGACATAAAACAGTAACAGTTTCATAGTTTCTAGGGATCATCGGGTAAATTGAAGAGTCGGCTTGTGTACTCATCGTCGGGCAAACAAAATGGATGAAAACCAGTATGTAACGAGAAAAGCAGCCATACTGTTAGCAGTGACGAAGCATAGAGCGCAGAAGCGAGAGCCTCGCCGAATCAATCTGGCGAGGCCACACCCTCTGACCTAAACCCGTATTATCGCGATAAACGTGCGGGCAAATGTCAGCCGAGCACCGACTACCGTCAGCCATTTTTCCCCTTTTCCAGGGTTGCTATCAATCGAAAGAACTTTCATCCCCTTACCCCAGAGGAATACGATATCCTTTTGTCGCATACGTTTTCACGTTTCAAAATTTCCATCAGGTTCATTCGTAATTAAACTGCGATGCATTGATAGAAACATTTTTATGGAAGAGAGGTCAAAAGTGAAATTATTATTTCCTTGAAGAGTAAAGAAAATTCCTATCTGGTCTTGTAAATTATTTTGAATAAAAGCTAGAAGTCTGTTTGTTTGCTGTTTAACTGAAGTGTAAGTTCTTAGAAGCAGACGCAGCAACCCTTGTCGAGGATCAAGCCAATTGTGATTATTCAAGCTGAAAGATCGCAGGTAACGTGATATTCAGGAAATTGCTTAAGATTCGACAAGACTGCGCGCGATCAGGATTGAAGTTCTTGAAAACTTCTTGTTTGCCCGTTTATCTCCGATCTCGCTGGCAATCTTTGTCCCGTGCGAGGGATCGCCGAAACTTGAAAATAAGGAGGAAGAGGAGGAGATGAAGTTTATACGAGAATAATGGTGACCGTGCAACGCAGTGTCTTTTCTCGCGCGGCAAGCCGGTAATTTACTTAAACGATGGCGCGAGATGGGCGACGCCTGTGGCCCCGCAGAAAGAAGAAAATAAAGCGGTGGAGGAAGAAAGTTTTGGGACCGAGAAGAAAGAAACGGTGAAGGCGTGGCACGATCGAGGATTGAGTTCAGATGCGAATTTACGTTTACCGAGAACGCCAGTTCCAGCTGCGAGGGCTCCTCCCTAAAAAAATTGATCAATTCCTCGGCTGTAGCCGACTTCAATCGATCCACGAACCGAACGACCTTCTCGCATTTCTCTACTTCAAGTACCTTACTAGAACTACATAAACAATAGCTGTTGCGATAGCCAAATAAATTTTATATACCTTCGATTTTCATCGGAGATAACGTGAACTCAATTAAACTGAACTGAAACTGTGTTAATCGGAACAGTTGAATGCCACTTTTTCTAATCGTTGAACAGTTGAATGCAAGACGTATAGTGGGAAAACTGTTTTCTCGCGAGAAAAGGTAAACGCAAGAAGCGCGAGGAGGTAGAGCCACGGAGGTCGTGATCGCGGAATCGCGAGAGCAAGAAGCTGGTATCGATGACCTATATATTGAATAACTATTTTATTTCCCAACTGCTGATCGTTCGGAATCAGAAAATACCCAGAGAGTAAGGTACACGCAAAAGTGAAGTCTATTGTGAAGGAAAAAGTTATATACATATATCAGAATGCTTAAATGACGAATGGAATTCTATTTGAATTGAACTTTTTAAAACGATACCATAAACGTCCTATTCTGAATAAAACCTCTGGTCTCCTCTATTGAGCAATAAACAAATACATAAATATAAAAGAAGGAATGCACCTCTGGCACGAATTCATTGAAAAAATGGTGTTTTCATAGGAATCGAAGGAATCGTTAAAATGATTGGCGCCTTGGCTTTCGACTCGGCTCGTCTCTCCTCTCTTCGAGGGGGCTGTACCCCGGCCACGTAGATTCTATCTTGCCATTCACCCGCCTAGGTAATAAAACTCTCGCGTCCATTATTTACTTGCATTATCGTTACTTTACGCCCACGTGGACGCGTCCGCGTATTTATGGTGAAATTATTCAGCATTATTTCGTATGATATGAAACGCACGGCTCGTGGACATGTAATTCGTGAGATTCACCAAAAATATTCACGTCTCAAAGCTTTGTCGATTATCAATCGTCAGGTATTCATCTTGGATAAAAAGTTATTGAAAAATGATACTAAGAGATCAATTACTCCGATTGCAAACGCATTTATTTGCATTGCATTGCATTAGCATTTTATGATAAATGTCGAACACTTATTACTTTATTATACTTCGTACAGAATTAATAAGAAGCATTGTACAACTTCTCTTATATTAATAATTCGATTTCACAAAAATCAGAACATTTATTATATGACTTTATTACACTGAATGAATGTATGACTTGTACATTTGACAAATCAGAAAGCATCTCTATAACTACAACAGAATCAACGAACTACTGAACAATTTTACCGATTTGCTAAAATTCTCTGATTTACTTGAAAACTTTTTTTGCAAGAGAACGCAGAAGTATTTCGACGAGGGTATCATTGTTCCCCGCACGTATTTCGTAACTAGATTGGCATTTCT